GTCGTCCGCTGCCGTCGCCACCCGACTCGGATGCCCAGCCGCCCGGGCCAGATCCAGTCGAGATCGGCCTCGGGGCTCCTCCGGGGGCCCGTCCCGGCTCGCTCGTCGAGGCGCACCCGGCCGCGGCGACCAGAAGGCCCCAGGAGGCACAGGAAGCGCGAGAGCGGCAGGCAGGGCCGCCAGCAGCTCGTCCAATCGTCGACGTCGTGGGCGGCAGCGGCGGCGTCGTCGTCTTCGTCGTCGTCGGCGGCGGCATCGTCGTCGTCGGCGTCGGCGTCGTCGTAATCGTCGTCGCGCCATGGCCCCAGACGACTCCCAGGGCAAGGGGGCACGCCGCCTGCTGCGGGCACGCCCGCGGCCGGCGCGGGGGAGAGGCCGGCGAACAGCGACGGACCTCGAGGGGCAGCGACGAACGACGGTCGACGAACCATGAACGACGAACGGCGCCCCCCAAGAAACAGCACGGCGGCGACGGCGACGGGAACGACGACGACGGCGACGACGACGACGACGACGACGAGGACAATGATGACGACGACGATGACGACGACGGCGGCGGCGACGACGGCGACGGCGACAGCGACGGCGTCCGCGACGGCGACGGCGACGGGAGCGACCACGGGAACGACGACGACGACGACGACGGGTGAGGTGGGCGGGGGGGGCTGGAAAGAAGGAGTGAGAGAGGGAGGGGGGATTGATTGAGCACTTCGCAAGGTGTGGAAGCTAGGACAGAAGGGCAAAGGGGACAACCCCAGAGGGGTTATCCCCTTTGCCCAGAACCAGACTCTGGTAACCAGGCACCAACCCCCTGACCCTGTCAAAACCTTTGGCAGAGCAGCGCCACAAGCAGCGTCCTTGGGGCTGTTCTGCACGCTGGACACTCGGGCGAGCAGCACGGTCAAAGTCTTCTCGAAAGGCTCGGAAGCCCCCCGGCTTTCTGAGACGTGTCCTGAGCTTTCCCAAGAAGACAAAGAAAACCTCAGAAGGCGCGAAGGTTTCAGAGAAATCCCGACGCCTTCTGAGAAGGCCCTCTCCTTCTCACTTCCCCCCCTCGCTCGCCGCCGACTTGTAGTCGCCGGACACAGCATCCTCGCGCTGCCTGGGCAGCACGGTCGAGGCCGCCCGGGGGACGTCCCCAGGGGCTCGCCGCGGAGAGCCGCCGAGAAAGAGGAGAGGGGCGGCCTCCGCATGGCGGCGCGGGCGCGGGCTGCGCCAGGGGCTGGGGCGGCGCCAGCGCGGCGCTGCGGCAGGCGTGTGGGGGAGGGAGGCGGAAGAAGAGGGAGGAGGATCACTGGCCGGCCGCTCTGCGGTTGATCGGGGCCTCTGTACACAGAAGAAGGGGCGTGCGCTTCTGGGCGAGAGGAGACTGAGCGGGAGGCGGCGGTGCTGTGGGCGAGGACGAGGAGGGTGAGGATCAAGAAAGTCGGGGTTCGCCCTCCTGATCTTCACCTCATCCGACTCTTCTCCTCCTCCTCCTCCTACTCCTCCTCCTCCTCCTCCTCCTCCTCCTCCTCCTCCTCCCCCTCCCTCCTCCCTCCTCCCTCCTCCCTCCTCCCTCCTCCCTCCTCCCTCCTCCCTCCCTTCTCCGTGCTCATCCATGCTCATCCTCGTCATCGTCCTCGGGGGCCTCCCTCGGGGGGCGATTTGACGACTTTGCGCTTTGCGAGGGTATCTCGAGCGAGAACCCAGATTGGGACGCGCCCGGGCCGACTTTTACGAGGATGCGCGCGCCGCGTGTCGACTTTCGGGGGATGTCCCGAGCGAGAGCCCAGGACTGGGAGACGCCTGGCGCGCCCCCGCGCGCGTCTAAGGGCCTCTTTGGGGCAGCTCGGGGGGCCAGTCTGTTGAGCATGTCCCACGCGAGGGCGCTGGTTTGGAATGCGTCGCCAGCTCTCCAAGATCTCCAGGAAACGGAACAAGGGGGCCTCTGAGGGCGTCGTTGGGAAGGCTCGGAAGGGCGGAGCATGTCCCACGCGAGCGCGCCGGTTTGGAATTCGTCGCCGGATGTCACAGGAATCCGCCGGCCCACCAGGCCAGAGGCGTGCTAAGATCTCCGGTAACCGGTTAACAATATTTCTAATTCGCGCGCACGTGGCGGCCCCTGGGGACCCCTGAACGAAAACTACCCCGGCCGATGCCTGGCCGACTCCCCAAGGTCGCTCCAGAAGCGCGCCAAAAGGGCGCTGGGCGCCCGCTAACACGGCCCAAGAGGCCACGAGTCGCCGAAAGATCGTTCCAAGACGCTCAAGATGGTCTCCAGATGGCTCCAGGGGGCCGCGAAAAAGCCCCAAGAGAGCCTCGAGAGGCTTTCCAAGAGGGCCCCAACAAGCAAAAATCGCCCCATTCCCTTCGGAAGATTTACATTATTCGCATGTGCGACGTTTGGGGGTTCACAGTGTCTAGAACTGCCTCATCGTCCCCAGACGGCCCAACACGCCCCCAAGATGGGCCCCAGAGAGCCCAAGAGGGCTCCAAGACGGCCCAAGAGGGCACCATAACGGCCCCAAGAGGGGCCCAAGAAGGGGGCCATGAACCGAAAAGTCCAGCCTTCAGCCCCAAGTGGCCCCCAGGAGGCCCCAAGAGGCCCCCAAGAGGCCCCCAGCAAGCACCCCAAGAAGCCCCAAGAGGCCCCCAAGAGGCCCCAACAGGCCCCAACACGGCCCACAACAGGCTTCAAAACTGCCTCCCAGAGGCCCCCGAGAAGCCAACTCGGAGAGCCCAACCAACATCCATGCTGCCTCTGACCCGCCACCCACCGCCTCCGAAAAATGGCAGCCGCCCAACGGCACCGCATTGACAACAACACCGCGACAAACGACAGTGGCGAGGCAATATGTGCCGGTGGAATGAGCGAAGCGATTAACTATAATTGTAGAAAGCACTGATGAAGGTTACTATAGCAGAGCATCACATCTGCAATCCTTTGGAAAGCATCACAAAGGGTTTTCATTCGAAAGCCTCACATGGAAAGTACTGCAAAGAGTTTAGCGTGGAAAGCCTCACAGCAGGAAGTCCCTGGAAAGCGCAACATAAGGACTTGTTTGGAAAGCCTCACATGGAAAAAACTCAAAAAATATTCGATTGGAAAGCCTCACAATCGGAATCCTGTGGAAAGCACTACTGGGGTTCCTAATGGAAAGCATCAGCAAAAATAATCCTCTGCAACACGATACCAGACATGATCTGATTGGAAAGCATGACAACAGTAATGCTCTGGAAAATATTACTGAGGGCTCCTATTCGAAAGTGTCACAATAGTACCCCTTTGGAATGCATCACAAAGATATTATATAGGAAAGCCTCACATGGAAAGCACTCCAAAGGGGTTTTATTTGAAAGCGTCACAGCAGGAATCCTTCTTGGAAAACGCATCAAAGGCATTGTATGGGAAAGCCCCACATTGAAAGCACTCCACAGGGATTGGATTGGAAAGCTTCTCACTCGGAATCCTTTGGGAAGCACTACTGAGGGCTCCTAGTGGACAGCATCACAACAGGAATCCTCCGCCAGTGGAAAGCATCGCAACAGGAATCCGTTGGAAAATACGACTGGGGGTTATTTTTGGCAAGCATCACAGGATGATTAAACAGGAACGCCTCACATGGAAAGCACTGCGAAAGGGATGTTATTAGAAAATGCTCCGAACAAGAATCCGTTGGAAAACGCACCACACGGATTCGATCGGAAAGCCTCACATGGAAAGCACTCCAAAGGGATTCTACTGGAAAGCTTCACAGTCAGCTCTGTTGAAAGCACGACTGAGGGCTCCCATGGGAAGCCTCACAATCGGAGTCCTTTGGAAGATGCCTCGAAGGGACTCTATAAGAAAGCATCACAACAAGAATCAGCTGGAAAGCCCTACTGAGGGTTCCTGTTAGAAAGCATCAGAAAAAGAATCCGTTGGAAAACATTACAAAAGGACTCGATGGGAAAATCTCACACGGAAAACACTCGAGAATGAGAACAGAGGAAAGCGTCCCAACCGGAATCCTTTAGAAAACACACCAAAGGGATTCGACTGGAAAGCCTTACATTGAAAGCACCAGAAACGATTCGAATGGAACGCCTCCCGTTCGGAATCTGTTGGAAAGCGTGACAGGGGCTTCATATTGGACAACGTTCCAACAAGAAACCTTCTTGGAAGAAGAAACGAACAAATCCTAGCGGAAAGCGTAACAACAGTAATCCGCTGGAAAGCCTCACTGAGGGTTCCTATTGGAAAGTATTGCAACGGCACACCTGTGGAAAGCACCACGAGGGGAAAGTGTCAAACAGGAATCCTTTGATCCTCTGATAAGCATTGCTGAGGATTCCGATTGGAAAGCATCATCAGAAGTGGGTCCTGCAGAGGCAAGCCAGAATCACGGTCGAAAAATCACGGCCAGAATCATCTTCTCCACTCCTCCTCCTCCTCCTCCTCCTCCTCCTCCTCCTCCTCCTCCTCCTCCTCCTCCTACTCCTCCCCCTCCTCCCCCTCCTCCTCCTCCACCTCCTCACAACCAGAATCTCCTGTTGGAGCAGAGCCAAAGAAAACCATTGGAAATAGCCCAACAAGCAGCAACAAGGAACAATACACTTAAGCAAACAACAACATGATCACAATAAAAGCAACGTTTCGCAAGGATTCGCTTCGCTGTCTGTACTATCCCAGAACATTGCATAGATTGTTGTTGGTTGCTTTGATTGTTTGTTTTTCTTTGTTGGGCTTCCAATGGTCTGAGGGAATGCAGAGAACATCGGAGGTGTAGCAGGAGGAGTATTGCTTCTCCAGAGGAGGAGAAGGAGGAGGAGGAGGAGGAGGAGGGAGAAGGGAGGCTCGTCCGCTCGACGACCGAATGAAATGGGTCAATGCCGCTCTCGATGTGAGCTCTTGTTCCTGCACAAGATGAGACTATAGTATACGTAAGAAAGAGATATGAGAGTGGTGGCCGCGCGGCCTAGCCCAGCAAGTCGGGAAGCGAGGAGAGAGGAGGGAGAGGAGGTGAAAGGACTCAGAAGGGAGGAGGACAAAACAGGAGGGAACAAACAATACAAAACGCCACAAGGGGGAGGCGCTGGCGCGAATGAGAGGCCCAGGCTTCCCATGGGTATGCGCGGTCCCAAGAACTCTTCGACCTCTCGTCCAGGATCTTTTTTGGTGAGTCCCCTGGAAGCCAGAAACTGCAAAAAGCTGCCTGAAATGTCAAGTGCGTCGGGGGCCTGCAGACAAAGACGTCCGATGCCTTCATTTGTTCCGCGCGGGGCCCCCGGAAGCCCCGACCCGTTCCCCAAGGCCACATTCTCGTCAAGAGTCGTTGCTTGACGGTACCGGGGCCTGGTGAAGGCCACCAGAGGCCAAAAACGACGAACTAATCCGACTTGACTGTCTCAAAACGTCGGATGTCCGCTAATCCCGCGCGCGCGCCTCTCCGGCGCGGTGTCAAACAGCAGGTCGCCCAACATGCTACTGGGGCTGGGGTCTAGCAGTGGAGCTGGCGCCAGCGCCGGCGAAAGCTCGAAGTCGAGCAGGTTCGCCTTGGGGGGAGGAGGAGGAGGAGGAGGAGGAGGAGGAGGAGGAGGAGGAGGAGGAGGAGGAGGAGGAGGATAATGAAGACAAGGGGGAGGAGGATGAGCAGGAGAAGGAGGCGGAGAAACAGGAAGAGGAGGAGGAGGGGGAGGAGAAGCAAGAGCGTCGTGCTAGGGCTGCTGCTGCTGCTGCTGAGGAGGCGGAAAAGGAGGGGGAAGCGGAAAAGAGGGGCGAGGAGGAAGATGATGACGACGGCGACGAGAGAGGAGGGATATGAAGAGGAGGAAGAGGCGACGGAGGAGGAGGCGGAGGAGTACGAGGAAGAGGAGCTTCAGTTTCAGGCTTAGGCGTCAGGGCATTCAACTCCAGCCACTCGAATCACACGTGGCGAGGCGGCTACTGCATTTGCGGGGCGTCCCGCCCTGAGCTCGAGAGCGCAGACGAAAGGGGGGGGAATGAGAAGGGCGCAAAGATCTGGCGTGCGCCCTTCTTCTGGGGATCGCGCGCCGCCGGGTCTTCCGCTCTGCTGGCTCGGGGGGAGGCTCTTGTATCGCCATGAAGTCCACCGCCCCGAAATGGTGCTCGGGCAGAGATCGCAAGGAGCCGAGCAGGGGAAAGAGGACGGTGGGGCGGGCAAGGGGAGAGGACGAAAGGGAGAGAGAGAGGGTAGAAAGAGTCAGGGCGGGCGGACAACTGCCGGAGGGGAAGCGTGTGCTTTTGGTTGTTATGTTTTTTTGTTGTTTTCTGACGCGCCAAATACGCGCCGACAGTTCTCCACAACATCGATATGACGACTTTTTAAAATGGAGCAACAATGCTGCATGTTTTGCTTCACCCCATGTTCTGCAAAGCCTTGTCCAGAGCATGGGGGCGAAGAAAGGCCGATGGCGAAGGATACGAATTAACCCTAAAACGTGTCATCCCCTGGCCTGCCAAACAGATGTTGGACAGACCCGTATTGATCGGCCTCGACGGCCAAACAATACAAACACCACGGCAGGAGAGAGGGAGGAGCAGACGAAAACTCCAAGCCACCTGGAGCAACGTACAGGCAAACCTGCCGTAGGCGCGCCGTTGCACACATCCGGGGACTTGCGAAACTGACACTGCTGGACACCTCGGCTAGCCACGCGATAAGAATCCGTACTGCGTAGCTGGATTTACGAATGCGCCGAGAAATCTATCGGCTCCCAGGCCGAGCGAAAGCATATCTGCCGAGAGTGCAAATCATGCGAAGCGCAACGTGAGACAATAAGGCTGACCAGGCCCTGCAGAAGAGAGGAAGAGAGAGAGGAGGAGGAGGAGGAGGAGGAGGAGGAGGAGGAGGAGGACGACGACGAGCCAGCAAAGGAGAAGGGGGACAGCTGAGAACGCTCAGGTTCGGCTCATGCATCACCAAATTGTTGCACAGTGTATACGTAAACCTGACTTCAAACGGCGTTGAACACTTCTTCTGCGAATGCGAAGCCAAGTCATGGCATGATTTCCGATGCTTTCAGTCATCCTCCCTGCGCAAGCAAACCGAAGACGCTGTCCAACAATGGGTTCATATTATTTGACTGGTTGTTCGGATATGTTGACATTGGCGTTGCCAAACATCGCCCGAATCGTTGAAATCATGTCAATCGTACTATTGTGTTTGTCTCACAGTCCACAACACGTGCACACATACGAAATCATGTAATTGCTTGGCACGAGCTCCAGTCCATCTCGGCTGTGCACATCTTTAAACGGCACACTTCCTTCCAACTGTTCAATTACGACCGTGAAGCCTGCACTCACGATAGGCTGCTCGCGAAAGCAATACTTTTGTAGTTTGAACAATACTGTCTTCGCCAAGCACTCTGGGTTTATGATGTCTCGCGCAGCGGATGCGCCCAACTGTTGTCCAACACGTGAACGGGTATTCTACAAATCATGAATTCGAGAACCCGCGAGCAATAAGCGCTCAGTCCGACACATTACTCCATCCTCCTCCTCGCAGTCCTTTCCCAGACCACCCGATCCTCCCATGCCGAAGCGATGCGCTCTCAAAATCTACCCGAATCAATCAACATCGCCATGTTAAAACGAATGCATCCGAATCAGCGGAAAAAAGCGTGTCCAGTGTTTGGCGTAGCACATTGGAACCATTCAAGCGCCGCCAGGTAAGGTGTGTAGCAACAGAGACAGATAACCTGATCGGGCAAGAACGGGGACCGCCGATTTTTTCGATTGGGCCCGTAGGGGGGGGGGCTAGAAGAAAGGGATGATGGCGACGACGAGGGCGCAGATGTCGAGGATGGCAGCGTGGATGACGGGGAGGACAGCGAGGGGGGCAGAAGGACAACGAGAAGAAAGACAAGCGCGAGGACGAGGAAGGAAGAGATGGCGGAGGACGAGTACGAAGAGGAACGAAGCGGAGGAGGAGGAGGAGGAGGATGAGGAGGAGGAGGAGAAGAAGAAGAAGGACGACGACGAAGAAGGACGGTAAGGAGCCCGACGAAAAGGACGTCGAAGAAGAAAGGGGTCCTCGTGATCTTTCGAGGCCACCCTCTGGGCTGTTGAGGCCGCCTGGGGCTATCTTGGGGCATCCTCGGGGGCTCGTGGGGACCTGTCGGGGTCCTCCTGGGGGCTACTGGGGTCACTCTTGGGCTGTCTGGGCATGCCTTAGGGTTCTATGGGGGCTCTCTCAGGCCAACTTGGCGCCATCTTGGGCTGTCTTGGGCCGTCTTGGGGCCCTCTTGGGCAGTCCCGGGGCCTCGCCGGGCGCTCCAGCCTCGGTCACTGCACCCCTGGCTCTGCAGGACCCCCGCCACGGCGCTCTGGCTGCCCCCAGCGCCGCGCGCATGGATGGGAGGCCACATGCGGACCCCACCCCACCACCCCGCCATCTTCTCCCCCTCCTCCTCCTCCTCCTCCTCCTCCTCCTCCTCCTCCTCCTCCTCCTCCTCCTCCTCCTCCTCCTCCTCCTCTGTGTATGCAGTTGTTCTTCCTTCGATTGCGCGGGCCACCAGCGCAGCCCGCTGCACTGGACCCCGGGGCACCCGCGGGCGGGGTTCACTCGGTTCGGGACCTCCCGAGCAAAGTGAGCCCCCCCTCCTGAGCGAAGTCTGGCCATCGCTCGGACGTCCACTTCCTGTGCTTCCTTCGGCTTCGCGCGTGGCTTTTTCGCCGAAGGGAAAGTGCACACGTCCGAGCGATGCCGAGGACCCCTGTCACTCGAACCCCGAAGCGCCCTGGCGAGCGGCGGCGCCGGCCAGACGCGTCGGCGCGCGGCGGGCGGCTGGCGAGCGGCGGCCCGCGGCCGCCGCCGAGCGGCGAGCGGCGCGGGGGCGGGGCTCCTGCGGCACGGGGGCGGCGGCCGCCGCGGCGGGGGGCTGCTGCCTGCCGCGGCCCGAGCAGGGGTGCGTTTTTGTGGGCAGAGAGAAGGCGAGGGGCGGCAGCGGCCCTCCTCCGCCCCATCATAACCGTCGTCGTCATCGTCACCGTCGTCGTCGTCGTGTTCCTGCTCGTGCTCATGCTCATGGTCACGTTCCTGCTCATGCTGGTGCTCGTGTTCTTGCAAGTGCTCGTGCTCTTGTTCATGCGTCCTCCTCCTCCTCCTCCTCCTCCTCCTCCTCCTCCTCCTCCTCCACTCGCGCTCGCGCTGCGCCGTTGCCTCCGAAAAGTGCCGCCTGTCGCCAGCCGCCTCCCCCTCCCCCTCCCCCTCCTCCTCCTCCTCCCCATCCTTTCCTCCTCATTTCCTCCTCTCCTCGTCATCCTCCTCCTCCTCCCTATTCCTGTCCATCTGTCTACAGTAACGAACAACTTAGGATGTTTTTGACTTCATCTCGCAACTGAAGGCAGCTACAGGGCCCCAAGCCATAGATAATGCATCATATGGTCCAGAGAAGATGCATGTAATCTCGAGGGCGTCGAGATTAGTGTAATGACAGCTCGAAATGAGTTACCAGAAGGAGAAGGATGGCACGACTGGCAGGCGATGCCCGACGCCCATGCCCCAACAGGCAAGGCCTGGCCGTGGCGACAAGAGCCTACCAGCTAACGATGGCGGCCCACGACTGACACCGCAGAAGCCACACGACAGGGCCGAGCGCTGGCGCTTCAGGTCGTTCCTCCTCCTCCTTCTCCTCATACTCATCCTGATCCTCATCCTCACGCCCATGCTCATCCTCCTCCTCCCCACCTCCTCCTCCTCCTCGGCGTTCTTCCTCTTCTTCCTCCTCCTCCTCCTCCTTCTCCTCCTCCTCCTCCTTCCTCCTTCATCCCTCCTCTCTCCTTCTCTTCCTCCATTCCTTCTCTTTATAGATAACTCCTCCCTGTCGCACCCCGAGGCCAGTTTTTAGGGCGGGCCGGGCGTTTCGCCTGAGACTTCCTCACCATTTATGACTCTGAACCTTAAACATTGCAACAATTTCACAGATGGAAGGCGGGTCGACTTCAAAATGTGGCTCTCGCCTTAGCGCCGCGCATTCGCTTTGAAAAATTGCGACAGCTTCACGGGTTGAGGGCGGGTCAATTTTCAAAATGTGCCTCTCGCCTTAGCGCCGCGTGCATTCGTTTTAACAATTTACAACAGTTCCACGGATTGAGGGCGGGTGGTTTTCAACATGTGGCTCTCGCCTTAGCGCCGCGCACACTCGTTTTAAACAGGTGCAAGAATTTCACGGATTGAGGGCGGTTCCTTTTCAAAATGTGGCTCTCGCCTTAGCGCCGCGCACATTCGTTTTAAACATGTGCAAGAATTTCACGGATTGAGGGCAGTTCCTTTTCAACATGTGGTTCTCGCCTTAGCGCCGCGCACATTCGTTTTCAACATGTGCAACATGTTACGGAATCCCATGATCAACGCACCAGAAATGGTGCTTTTGGAAGGATTCAGGAGCATGCTGGTGCAATCATTATGTTGATTACAGGTGTTGAAGTCCCAAAAATGGCGCTCTGGCACGATTCCCGATCGTCAAGACGCAGCAGTCAGGTTGATACGTGACGTTTTAATCCCGGGAACACTCTTTCGGCATGCTTCAGGATCTTCGAACAATTGTCTTCCAGAGAAGCAATTCCCTCAATGATACAACCGTTGTGAGGGCCTATGAAGAGGGAGCTGGGAGGGAGGGTTAATTCCAATATCGTTGATGACTCCTGGTTTTACACTGGTCCTTTTCCTCCTTCTCCTTCTCCTCCTCCTCCTCCTTCTCCTCCTCCTCCTCATCCTCCTCCTTCCTTCTCCGCACACTCCTTCCTCTTCCTCCTCCGCCTTCTCCTTCCTCTGCCTCCTCCGCCTCCCTCCTCTTCCCTCCTGGATGAGGATGCAGCCCCGCTCAGACGAGGGCGACATCCGAGTACGTCGCACGGCAGCAACGGAGTTGCAGCCAAGCAGCCAGTACAACAGCCTCAGCAGCTCCATCAGCAGGTGGCACAGCCTGGAGGAACTACCGCAGCTCCATCAGCCGAGGCAAGTACTACACCAGCGGTGCTGGCTGCATTGCAGTCTCAGAATGCACTACTCATCGAGTCAATGAAGAAGTTTCAGGAGACCGTCAACCACCTGCAGCAGGACATAGTGTAAATCAAGACGCAAGACATGGAGAGCATCAAATCAGCAGCCATCGACGCGGCCATCACGGCTTCCAAGAAGGCCAAGGCCAAGACCATGACGCAAGCTGAAAAACAAGTTGCAGCAGGAAGCACCAGACTTCAAGCAGCACTACGTGGTGAGCTTCCCTCTCAGCATGCATTGCCAGCCACGCCTGCAGCTCAGCCATCAGCTCAGACACCGAGGTCTACGCGTTTTGGTGCGCGCTCGGCTTCCCCAAGGCGGCAGCAGACATGGGAATCGGGGGCCAAGATACGACGTGAAGAAGGGGATGGAGTACTAGGCACTGGCACCAAGACTCCAGTCGTCCAGGACATCAGTGACTTCGAGGACGACCGACCTCTGAGTCACCCAGGCCCCTTTGGCCCACAGGAGGCTGCAGCCTCCTTCCCTGCGCCGCCAGCATCTAGCAGCCCAGTTTTTCGCTAACCAACTCGTTGGCTCACTCAGAGCTGAGCTCATTCAGTGCTCAGCAGCGTCTGGCTATTCAGAATAGCCAAGTTGCAAATTCAGATCAGTTCGTCCAAGCTCAGGGGGTACAGCAGCACGAACCCCCTCCCAGCCCGCCCCGGGCACTCCTGATATCCCTGTTGTAGGTCCCATGCGTGGCTTTGCCCGTTCTCCTCTCCCTCCTTTTAAAGGCGCCTAGGAGCTCCTCGAACGACCCTAGGCCCTGGAGTTGTCCCAGGAACTACTATCACTGGCGCCATTTGGCACTCTTCAACGATCAAAGGATTGGGGGATCTACCCGAATATGAAGCCCCCAGAGAGTATGCACGGCACGAAGTCTTCACTGACGCGACCTCAGGAAAATTCAGGCACAACAATCAACACTGTGCCCAACATGGGCCTTTTGTGTGCTAGATATTTCTGCAGCGGGATGTGCACTGGCCGGCTACATGGCTGGACCAGTCCCAGACGCTGAGGCAGCGGACCCGCCTGCCCCCGGCCATCGCATGGTGCCTCAAGTGCTCGGCCAGTCTCACAGCGCAACTTACCCTACGTGGTGACAACATGGACTTCATACGACTATTGCACGGGGGATACATTACAGGGGCCTCCTCACATGCCAAACGCATACTCGAAAATATCATACACATTCTCCGCGCGCGCAGCATACCGAATGTCAGCACATACATGGTCATATGGCGCACCCTTGGAACGAACGTGTCGCCACTTTGGCCAGGCGCTATGCAATGCAGCTCTTGCCGCCGCTCTTCTAGCCAAGCTGACGATCTATCATTTTGCAGGAGCCTCACTGGACTGCGCTAACATGGGCGTGGATTGAATGCTGCATGCCCACCTACCGCTGGCGCGGCCATTTCCGCCCACCGACTGCCGACAACGAGCATGCTCGACATACTACCCAAACACCGCTCGGGAGGCCCTCAAAGGAAGCCCAAAATTCTTGGAGCTCTGGGCTGGGTGGCCATCGCCAACGTGCTCACTATGGATCCCAGGGGTTTCGTTGGGAGCTCACAAGGGGTTCGAACGGTAGGATAAGACGCGCCTGGACGCACGATGCAATTGGCTGGTCAGTTCCCCCGCAAACCGTACTTATTTGTGGGCGTGGTGGAGACACGCATGCAGCGCTCGGGCACAGCTATCATATCCTTACTGTATACTCAACACACCAGCCAGCCCATCAGGCGATGACGGCTGCTCCCCGTGGGTACACACTGACTTTGAATAGCACGCGGGATGCAAGCTGGCACCAAGGCATTGCCAGGTGGTGCACTCCCTCGGCAAAGGCTCATCGTAATAGTGAGAGTGCCAGCCCTGTCTGTTTGCATCTGCGTCGGTCATGCTCCGCACTCCTGCCGACCTCCGCAAGAAATTTCAGACGGGACGGACCCCTTACGGACCTCATCAAAGCCCTTGGGGGTTACTGCGGAACATGTGATCACGCTGGTGGACGCCACTGCGGCTCTTGGCTCTTGGTTCGGGGAGCTCTTTAGGAGGTTCAGGAGGGATACTCAGCAGCGGGCCCCAGCTACCTTCCATGAGGACCCCTTGGGCCCCCCAGGTACGCGGCTCGCTCCTGGCAAAGCCCCGACTCCAGCCATCTATCGACGCAGGGACTACGCGGTTGTTTCGCACGCTATCACAGTGCCAGCTGCGGGCGTCGACATAAACATTGTCCTTGCGGTTTCACCGATCGGCCATCGCCCTGCAGCAGCACAACTACAGTTCCCCCCTCCTCCTCCGTACCTGCCCCTGCCAGGCCATGCAAGATGCAGCGCACTCCAGCGCTGTATGTCGATCCCATTGCAGCGCGGCACTGTTGCGACTTGCTCGCCAACTTTGCGCCGCCAAAGATCCATGCGCATGCCGCGGATCACGTGCAAATTTGCGGCGACTACATCCGGGCGGCCACGCAGACGGCTTTTCCAGCGAGAGAAGGACCTCTTGGCAGAACGCCCGGGCAGACTTGGATCAGCCATGACTCACTCTGCAGGAAGAAGGATCCATATACCTACGCCATGCATCTCGGTTGCAAGCGCGTTCCAGGTCCGCGCAGCTTGCCGTCGTTTCTTCGGTCGGCAGTGGGCAACCGCGGCGCGGAGACACCGCGCAGACAGCGCGCGCAGCGCCAGGCACCTGGCCAGCGCCAAATTCCCCGACCTACTTGCAATGCCCCACGCGGTCACGGGTCTCAATTCGGGCATCGCCCTCTTGGTGGAAGCCGCGATCAGCGCGCAGTCCAGGGAGGGCAAGCTACTGCAGCGACCCAGCAAAGGGACCCGACCAAGAGTGGGGAAGCCACGCCCACTTGCACATCGGTGAA